GAGTGAAATAGTGGCGATAATAATGATTATATTTCACCTATTTTTTTATGTGATGAATAATAAATCTGAGTTTGAATCTATATCAGAATCATTATTAAAAATGATCACAATATTAAACAATCACTAAAAATAATTTATATTTATATTTTAATATCTATTTAGTGCACAGTCATCTTATTAGTTCTCTATTTCTTACAAGTTGGTTATTTATTCTTTCTATTTAAGATGTTTTTGTTCTTCTCCCTTGGTTTTACTTTAATTTGCAAAATCCCTCTCTACAGCAATGTTGACAGGTGTGTTTAATTGATTTTTCTTCTTTTTTTGTGCTCTCAAACAGTTTTTTAAGTAATGATTATGTAGTGCAATTTGAATTTAAGTTCCATTTAACAATACAATAATCATACCAATGACAATTTTCCATCTGCATATAAGTCTTGATACTACAGAACTGAAATGGCCCTTCTTAAAATAAAGACACATTGAATGATACTGAGCAGGATAAAATTACATGTATACCAGTTTTTATACAGCGCACCATGCCAAAAACCCGGTCATATGGAACACTTAGTTTTAAAAATTTAAATTACATACAGGGGAGAATTGTAATACTGTATGCCAGGGTTTGTACACTTCAAACCAAATTAAAGTCCAGGACATTCAAGGACAAACTTTTAAAATTTCAATGACATTTAATGTCCTTAGATATTCCTGTACATTTATAATTGCCAATTTTGATATACTGTAGAGTATGCCCTTAATGACATACCAAACGTCTCGAAAGTTCAATTTTTTACAGTCAGTCGTGTATACTACATCACAATTCAAATTTGATGTATTAAAATGTACTAATGAATGATCAGGCAGTCGGTTTTCCAAGGCCCTAATCAAAAAAAAAAAATTGAGTATGGGACGCCAAATAGATTAGATATGGCGTGCACTAAGCGCATTAATGAGTGAGTAACTAAAAACTAGGGCCTGGAACACAGACTATGTTACGACATACAGTACTCATTAGAGACTGCAAACTGAATATGGTATTGATACCAAAGCCCTCAATAAGCTTTTCCATAATGTCAATCAAACTGAACAACTGACCAATCAGAACTGGGCCAGAAATATGGGCTTGTCCTATAAACACCTAGAAGGTACAGTAGACCTTCTGCGCCTTGGACAGTCAAACTGAACAGTCTTGAGTGCGGCATCGCAAAACCTTGTTAAGTTTCCCTGTGTAATAATTACCCTACATATTAAATTCTTAGGTACTATGCAGACAATACACATTGCTACAATGTGGTGGTATGGTTTCTACAATTAATCCTCTTCGTTGTTTTATTTTTTTTCTGTTTGGGTTTGTCTGGCTACAGTAGTGTATTTCTTGTGTCAGAGTCTGATGATTTTTTTCGTCAACAGTATAACACTTAACAAAATAGCGCTATATAAATGTTGCATTATTATATAACAGACGATGGGTATCACCATGTCCCCCAAAATAAAATAAAATGCATTAAGAACGCTCATAACCAGATCTCGGGAAAATACCTTCAAAAAATTTGGCACCCCTGCTAAATTCATAGTGCTTTACTTTTTCTCAGATGTTTACACTGTTTTCCTGAACCCAAAATAAAAGTGATTTTCCACGAGCAACTTTAAATTTAAATTTTATTTTATTGGTTTCTGACTATACGACAGGCAATAACTTGTTCTTAAATGAGATTTTATAAAAATAGTTAATTGCCAATCGATTGTTATAAAATACAAAATAGTATTATTTATTGAGCGACCGTACAGTAGGAGACAGATAACATTTATCATATTGATATTTAACCTAATTATTTAAAACAGAATCACTTAAAAAATATAGAAGGAAATGTTGGCCAATAGTGCCATATTGTGTTTTCATATGATGTATAGGTGATGATTACGAAATTAAAATGTCTTTATTTCACTATGGCAACCAGTCATCATACTACTGCTTTGTGATGAAAAACAAATTATATTAGGCACTTAGAATATGAGAAAGCAATCAGGTGGTTATAATAAAAAGAAATTCTTTCTGATGCATGTTAAAAATTAATTAGATTAATTACACTATATTTTTAATTGTGCAGGCCAACCGGTCTTGCACGAAAAGATACAATATCTCTATGACAACAAAGCATGTACATATGACCTTCAAAAAGAATACTTTATATGAATGATGAAGGTAAAAATGGGTCTTCAATATCTTTTCTTCTTTCACATTTTTGTCTTGCGACACTACGGTTTCTACTTTCATTTCTTTCTGAACGACAGATGTTTGTTATATAGTGTTCTTTTACATGTTCCTTTACCTTTGTAAGTGAGTGTCAATTTTTTTTGTCTTCCTATTGATTCTTTTTTTTTCTTCGCATACAACATTTATTATTTCTTTTTTTTCTTCGCACGTAACAGTTATTCAGTTATTATTTATACTTTATTTCTTTATTATTATTACTGTACTCTATACTGAAAATGAAAATTTCCGATAACCTGGCAACTACTGCTGGGAGACTTCTAGAGGCCTGGGCATTTCACACTACATAGTTACCGTATGTGTTATCAATGTCAATATAAACTAGTACTCTTTCTATCCATTTTCATTACAAGAAATGAAATTCACCTTCATGGCTTTACTGCTAAGAAATTTGAGAAAAACTCAAAAGCAATCCTAAAACTGAAAACAAGTAAAAAATTCTTATCTAAATGACCAAGCACTCAACACTGCAACTATCATAGTTTCATATACTTTAAACAAGAATACATTACTGAACAAGGTAATCTGAGATTACAAACCCTCGCCCTGTTGCACCATATTTATGTACTGAAAATATAATGGCCCGTGGTCAATCCGCTCCATCCGCCAAACAGGCCTAGCATCATTAGCCTTGAGTGACAAGACCATCAATCAGGTAAGTATGCTGCCATCCGGACCGCTTCCCGTCTACTGGCCAGAATTTGACACATGGTCGATCCACTCGCAGACCTGCCAACTCACACAATCCTGTAGGGTGTCACCCGATATTTAAACAAATCTCCAGTTCTCCAGTTCCGATCGAATGTAATTTTCACCCGATTTCACTGATTTTACAGGTTCCCTCCACAAAATACTCTGATTTATACATAAATGATTGATTAGATCATTATTATTCAATGTATTCACCGCGATAGACAAGCAACAATCTAATAAGTTGTTTTGCAGTAATTTTGTACATTGATTTTATACCACTATGATTTGTTTTGACATGTCTTTTTTAGTAAATTACATCATATTTTGGTTAATTCTGGAAACCTCCACATTTTTTGGTAAATCTCTAGTTTTTTTTAAGATTTTAAAAAAAAATCTCCAGATTTTCATGGCCCAGGGGTTGGCAGGTCTGCACTCGAGTCGGCCTGCAGTCGACCTGCTAGCGTCGGCTCAGCCTAGCCAAACGACTTGGTTGAACGATCTGCTCGAGTTACATGAATGTTGCCGCCGAAAAATATATAAGTAAAATTCTAAAACCTACATCTTACTTCCGATCAGCACCAAATGCGAGGAGGATCGGGATAAAAATAACCAATGTGTGAAATTGTAAGCCTATCGGTCCAATAGTTTTTGAGTTGCGACCGAAGTACACACAGGCAAATAGACACACAGACAGACGTGTGCTTTTGAAATACCCTTCATCACTCCTTTGGAGAGGCAAGGGTAATTAAAACAACCATATAAAAAGCTTAAGGTCAATATAACTAGAAAAGAATTAACATACAATTTTAATCCCATTGACATTTATAATATTAGTGATTTCGGTAGATTACTACTTAGAGTCACTGGTTAATTCAGCACAATGACATTATGAGCGAGTTTAATTGTCTGCCTTTATCTATACTTGTTTGTTGGCTTGTAATGGATGTCAAATTAGATTTTCTAAAGCCCTATTTAGAATGCCATTTTTATTTAATTACAATCCTAATCATAATCTCAACCAAGTGGACTGTTTACATGGGAATTTGTGATTGTGATGTGATTGTATTTCACATTTTCATCTGCTATCTTTTATCTGACAGCATTTTATATATATATATATATGTGTGTGTGTGTGTGTGTGTGTGTGTGTGTGTGTGTGTGTGTGTGTGTATATATATATATATATATAACATTACATGCAGATTGATTTAACTTTAACCCCTACTGCTAAATTCTGCATCCGCACCAGCTAGTCTCCATCCTAATTATTAACTGTTTTTTTATACTAAAGTTTTAAAGTATTAATGTTTTAATTATTTGTATTTCATATTTGTAAGGACTACTCGGGTAATAAGATTGTTTTACGACACCTTTTGTGGGCTATCATTGGTTCCGCTGTTGTCAAGTTTCTTGTTCTTGACTTTTATTGTAATCAAATTAACTTTTCTCCTGTTTGTTTAGGCTTTTTATCTGTTTTATTATCTTTTTGGTTTCTGCATCTTTTATCACTGTATTTTATCTGTATGTATGTTTTATTGGAACCAAATAAATTCAAATCAAATCAAATAAATATTATTTCTATGGTAAATAACAAGCTGTCCATATGCTTATTAATCTTTAACAGTTAAACGTTCATAAGGCCCAATAAAGAAAATTCCTCTTCTCCAATACTGCTTTTCTCAAAACAACATCCCTTAAATTTTGGAAAAGGCAGAGAGGAAAAAAATGACAATGATGGATGAGATCAAGAATAGAAATCTTAATTTAGTTCAAAATGGTACGACTGGCAAACCAGAAAGTATTACAACATTTGGAATTTGCCAAAAGGCTCAGCAAGCACATCTATAAAATATGTTTATAAATTTATATTTCAATGAAATGATAATGTAGTCTATAGTAAACTTTTAGTGAATACTGAAGCATTGAAGAACTGCAGGTCATCAGCATACTGAAAAGCCCCTCTTTTCCTCACTTTTTCCGTAACAGATTATTGAACACATTTTATTATTACTTGGCATATATCATTGCACAATCATTAGTATAATTCACTTACCTGTCTCCATAGAAACGAATCGTCCTTGTTGTCAATGGCGACACAAATGATCTGAACAAGTCCTAGTGTGATTCCTCCTAACACTGCCAGCCGCATACGTAGCGGCAGGAGCGCGTATGTCATGTACATGATGAATATAGACGTCCAAACCCCTGAAGAGGCTTCGTGAGGCTTAGTGTTAAAAACATCAATACCGACAACAACACACATTATAAGAATAACAGAATAGCAACTTATTCTTAATTGTTTTTGAGTAAACGAGTTCCTATTGCACACAAATGTCATGGCAAGGAAAATAAGAACAAACAGACCTAAGCAAATGCCAGTGTATATCTGAGGGTTTTTCGATACGTAATGGCAGATGATTTGTACGAGACACAACAGGCTCACCATTAACAAATAGCTTGATAAACTACTTCGATTCAAACCAAAGAAATACCTTTGGTATAGTTGCTCTAGTTTTATAGACTTGAATTTTTTTGAACGAAACACTTTTGTAATCATCGGTAGAAGTTCTGTACAATGCTTTGATTTGTCGTTGCAATCGGTGGTGTGAACTTTGACATGTCCATTCTTCTCTTGTAATTCAACAGAATTAAAACTAATATCCATACCACAGTTACTTGCCCTCTCAACCTCTGTTGGTTTATCGCCCCACGCTTTTTTTGAAGTGGTACTAGGTGGTCGCGAAGTGTCGCTTTTTCTCCTGTCCTTGTGGTAGTGCTTCTTTATCTTATGTGATTGATTGTTTTGTTGGGTATTTCCCTCAGCCTGTTTCTCTTCTTTTTCCATGGCTGCATCCCATGCCTTTTTCTGTTTGCTGATCAAACTTGATGATGATGATGGTCTTGAGGTCTTAAAGGTGTTGCTTGATTCCATGGCTTTATTGCTAGAATATACAATGATTTTTAAAAATATTGAAACAAATTCAAGGATTGCCTTTAAATTTGGCAAGCAATGCTGAAAATTATTCTTTTGATTGGTCATCCCTAAGTTTTTAAAAAAATGAACAGGGTAATCCTCAGGTACTTTAAAAGCCCACAACCAAAATCTGTGCGATGTTGTGTCCCAGGATGGCAGAAGTAGGCTTGTACAACTGACACTACAATATGGTATTTATAATTTCTTAGCATCCAACTGGAAAAATAATAGGCCTAAGTTGAATAAACAATCATAATAAAAATGTAATTTTTGTCAACTGAATAAAATTGTTTCTACCATATTCACAGCAAAAATTTCTCCATATTTTTAAGCATGATGTATTCAATATTTGAATTTCCTGTAAAATTAATCTCAGTATATAATAATCTCAGTGTAGGTTGAAAAATAAATTATTAATATTTTTCTTTTTTGTAATCCTCAAATATGGTCCCGGTCTGTAACTCTAATGAATGACGATTAGAATATCCTAGGGAAAAGGGAACAACAATGGTGTCTAAAGTTTCTAAGCCACATGTATCCATTTAGACAGTATGTGAGTATGTAAACACCTCCTTCTGTTTATATGAGTGGTGATGACCACCACCAGAAAAAACCTCACCGCCGGTGTTTGCCTTACCTGATTTCTATGATTTCTGTGGATTACCTTCTACATATTGTCGAGCAAAACTTATCTTCATTAGGTTTAGGCCTAGGTAGAGATGATGCCTTGGGTAGACCGGTAGTTGCCTGCTGTCAATACCATCTGCCGTCTCAGTTTACCATGCTAAACATTGTACACAATCAGTGCAATTCCACAACGTACGGAGTGAAGCAAGGATTGTGAATGATAATGTTCTCAACGTTGTCAGGGAAATTAAGTACCCGCGCCCTCTCTAGACATTTGAAGTTTCTTTGCGACACTAACTTTGCTGCAGTTCTATATTAGGCCTACACATCGTTTTAGTCCATCACTTGTTCCAGTCTCTTCAAATAAGAATAAAATTCAGAAGCTTTATGTAGAAAAAAATGTATTGGATTCGTGAGAAAACCACGTCTTGTGACTTAACAGAAGTAAGCCTCCTGATGAATTCCACTGCGTGGGTGGACAAAGCTGGAGTTAGCTAATAGATGTCCTATAGCCTATATAGTTAGTATTTACAGTGTCGAGATACAATCATTTCTTGCGAGGACCGAGTTCAATAATGCCGCACAATAACTCGTTTTGTAGGATGGGCTAAATCCCTGTCCAGACTATCAAATTTTATTTGAAAAAAACATGTGAGCCTAAATATTATGGTCATGATGACATGACATCATGACCATATAGAAGCCTGTCATGACTATATATGGGCATACAACAGTTTTTTGTCAAAGAAATGTTGATAGTGTGGACAGAGCTTTAAACCGTTGTTCTCGTGTGAATAATTATATGCGCACGTTATGTATTCGCGCAAATATTGATACAGAAAATTAGGATAAACTAAATATAAAAATCATTCAACAACAAATGGTTTTACTAACTGAAATCCTTTTTTAATTCCTTTTGACGTTTTACAGTTGTTGAAAGAAGCTCTTGTAAAAAAACTTTTCACGTGTTTACACATTATATAGGCCTACACGTAATCTAGCCTCTGGGTCACGATGTGTTATATATATATATATATATATATATATATATATCTGTCTCTTATACACATCTAGATGTGTATAAGAGATTAAATACGTACATACAGTTAGTTATCCTGCAAATCCTCAGTTGGTGTGGACGTAGCATCCCTGATAGCTACACGGAAGGAAGCTCTTTCTGTTGCCATTCCGCCTGCTTCGACTACGCTGAGTAGCTCTTCTATTTCTCCCATCGTTTTCTTGGCCGTCCTCTACGTCTTTTCCCCTCAATTCTACCTTCCATAAATGTCTTCTCTAGACAATTATGACGTTTGATGTGACCAAAGTATTTTAATTTGAATTTTGAAATTACGTGTATTAGCCAGTTTTCTTCAATGTCCAATTGTTCTCTTATTGATTGATTTGTTCTGTGTTCCCACCACGAAGCGGCCATTACTCTTCGGTAACATTTCATCTCAAAAACATTTATGGCAGCCTTCACCTTTTCACTTAGAATCCAGGCCTCACATCCAGCTGTAGGGAATGCTTTTGTATTTAGGTTCTGGCCTTTCCATAAATACTTCTTTTTGATTTTGTTCATCCCAATTGCTATCCTTCTTTTAATTTCACCAATCTGGCTAGCATCTTCGTAGATGTTGGTCCCTAAATATTCATAACTGGTGACTATTACATACAGTACGGTACCTTTAATTTTGTTGTGACGTATTTTTGAGATAAATTAAACCATACTGTCGATTTTTTAACTGTCACTTTTATTTGAAATGACAGTGACATATAAATCAGGAAAATTAACATGAGAAATGTGTGTATAAGGTTAAGCGAGTAGGACCCGATGGACTGAGGGGAGAAGTTTCAGAAAATTGGCCTCTGATGCCCAGACAAGACGATAATAATTAATCATTTATAAACTTTAAATGCTTACCACCTATTGCGTCTAAACTCCTGATGTCAAAATAAGTCATCAAAAATATTTTCACTACTCCACACCCCGAAAATAGAAATAAACATCACGCCTAATCTTAGATCCATTTTTTTTTTTTTAATTTGGAAATTCAAATCGAATTTGCTACTAAACCAGCGGTCACTTCAGATATTTGCCGACAGGGAGACCGGACCAAGGAGCCCGCCCCGGTGAGGTCCGGAATGAAAATTTCAGGGTTCACAGCAGTGAGAAAGCTTTCATGGCTTATTGCCCAATTTTGCTTTTGGACTAGGCCTACAATAAGGGGTTGGCAATAAAAATATTTTATTTGGATAGGCAAAATCATATTTTTGGTCCGACGTCCTCCTCGTTGGACGGGACAGTGTTCCGGGCCCGTTCGAAGTGAGTGGGGGAGGGGGTGGCGGAGGAGGGAATTATCATCCCTGACACCCTGGCGCCACCATTGCCATCAAATGTGTGTGCAAGACCAGACTTTGTTTATACCTTGTTTATTAACGAACCCTGCGCCGCCCACCAATAATGATTCGAATAAAAGTAACACTTTATGTTTGACCAGTTTTTCTTAATTTTTATTAAACCCGCTGCTGCCTTGAAATCTCCAAGACTATTTGCTAAATACGAAAACAAATGTTATTTTTAGTTTCTTTTCCACCTTCCTCTGACTATCTTTTTCAGTTCTCAAAACAAGTTAGAAAAAATTCTCGCCTAAAAGCCTATATTATGCCTATGTTTGAATATGTCAGAACAGTTAAATAAATATTACATGATATATTGATTAATTTATTATGACAAAATATATATCAATGTCTGATTTGAACCCGGAATCTACCACTGAACCACTTCGGCCACCAGACACATGTGTATGCGATAACGGTACTGTTAATAGACTGTCGCTCGCTGCTGTAACTTGTAGAGCTCCCTCTAACATTTCCTTTGGGAGAAGTGGAGAAACGAGACGGTACGCGAGAGGGCAGCGGAATTCGAAGCTGAAGTCTGTATTTAAAAGTTATTTTTTGTAGAAATTACTTTATTCAGTATGTCATTTATCAGAATATTTTCACAAAATATTTTACGTGTAAAACCGGTAAGTTATTTGTTCTTCTTTTAGGTACGATTGTAAAATTGTCGAATTTAATACAACACACACTTGCATCGAGACTTTTTTTTTAGCCTCAGCGAGAATTCTTGCTCGACGTCGGGCCATATGCATGGTGATCAGCAGTGAGGCTCATCAGTGCAGACCGCAAGGTCACAATCCATAGTGAGCCGGTATTTCAGTTGTTCTGTTATCTAGGCGTAGTCTCTGGCCTAGGCTCCTATAAAAGAAATGAAAATGTTCTGTAAATTAATACAACGCTTAAAGTTAAAACATGATGTGTAATAACTCAAGCTACTTTGTCTCTTTACTTTAGTCCTAAACTAGGCTAGGCCCTAGCCCTAGCCTTGCATATTGTACAACAAGAAGTAGGCTGTGCCTATCATTCCTAGGCTAGACCTATGCCCTAGGCCTACTACTACTACTACTAGGCCTCTAGAGTGAATACAGTAGGCCAATACAATTAAATTTATTCCTGAAGATTAAATTAAATAATAAATGTCAAAATATTGAATCAAAAAACAAAGTCATGTATTCCATTTCTTGAGTTTTTTTTGTGTTACTCTAGGCCTAGGCCTATATAAGAATTCTGCAAGTAAAATTGTATTATTATAGGTATGCACCAAATTGCACAATTTAAAACCCAAAAATGAAAATGTTTTCTATTGTCGGACTCGGAGGGGATCCACCCCTCCCACACCCACCCATCCCTCCCCCTTCCCGCTCACCTCGCTCCCTCGATTATTTGATTGTTTTCACTCCCAGCTAATTAACAAACTTAGCATCTTATACAACAAATACAAGAAGTGCATCAAATATTTAATGTGAAAAAGTCCATCATACAAGTGACTAGTGCAACCACTGTATGTCATCATCTAATGGTTCCTTTTATTGCAAGAGAACCAAAATATAAAATGCAAAACTTTGCATTAGCTACTGTATTTACTATCATTGTTTGTTACAAATGAGGATTGAGGTGTATATTAATCTTTTATTAATGATTCCAACACATGGTATTGTAAAAATACTATTGCTGGTACCACTTTTCATTCTTTATTGTATGCCACAAATACAGCATTTATGTGGGTATGTGTTGCTTCCTACAAATAACTAGATTTTGTATTATGGAAAATTATGATCAAATATAGTGTGTTAAGGGGAATAATATCCCTGATGATCATTGTTCTACAATACTGTATTTGCCCTCCTAATTACTATCTCCCTTTTCATAGCCTGAGTTTACAAACAAGAAAAGTCATTGACTTCTAATACAGTAGTAATACACATTTTTTTTGCAAAATATATAGTTTTCATATAACAATGCATGTGTAAAACAAAATGTATACATGTCTTCTTTACAATAAAAGAATAAACCGTAGTATGTGAAAGTCATATTTCAAATATTATTTTGTACCTGCTCAATAATAATAATAACTTAGGCCAAGTAAAAAAAAAATATGTTTCGCGTCCCCGCCCGCATCGTTTTTTTCGCCCGCCTTGATTTTTTTATTTTTTTTTATTTTTGGAAAATTCGTGAAAATAAAGAAAAAATATATCGAAAATTTAGAATTAAATGTTGGAAAATAAATACCCTAGCCTAAAATAGTGCAATATCTTCGTCTAACCTTTCGTATAGTAAAGCTATGCCTAGGCTAGCCCAATATCTCTACCTAGGCTTGCCCGATATCTCTAGGCTAGGCCTAGGCCGTCGTCTACTCTGGGCGTCAGGCGGCAAACCTCGAGTTCACTTCACTAGAGCACGTTTGTCATGCATACAATTGCCGTATTCGATTGGGACTATATGTTGAGTATGTTATCCCGTTGAGTACAAAACTCAACGATAAATTCCGAGCATTAACTTCGTTGAGCAGTTTCCGTTGAGCAGAGCACGAAAGTCCCAATCGAATACGGCAGATGATTTCCGATGAATTCTGGAATTTCTCGTTATACTGGCCCTCTATGTCAGATTGTATGGAATAGTTTCATGTGAAGACGTCTGAGACGTAACATCGGGAACATT